TCTGTCTCTCTCTCTGTCTCTCTCTCTCTCTCTCTCTCTCTCTCTCTCTCTCACACCCGAGTCCCTTTTCTCTCCCCTTCTTCAGACGGAAGAGTTGGCTACCGCGGGCGGGCTGCTTGTTCACGAGCAATCAAAGCTAGTTTTCCTGTTGCCCCTTCTTTAGCAAGCAGCCCTCAGTACGGCTTGCTGGTTGCCACCAATGGGCAACGTCCTAACCAGCCGCGCTCGCTATCTGCATCTGCTATCTCTCTCTGCCTCTGACACAGGCCTCAAGAGCATGACGCAATCTGTTCCTAATCTGACTGGCCCTTTCTCTCCCCTATAGGGTGCTGCCCCGAGGCTGCTGCCTTGGGCTAAGAATAGCCCTGGGCCTTTAGCTGCTCAACCTTGGCAGTTGACCAGTCAAATACTGAACCTTTTTCCGTTTCCCTTCTTTCTTGTGAATTTGAATTCTGTTTTTCCTTCCTTTCCCCCGCCCAATCAAATCGAAGGGAAATAGAGGGGGGAAAACAAACAAAAATGAACAGGGTGGAACCGTTCAAATTTGAATTTTTTAATTTTAACCTAGGCTACCAGCCGGAGTCCCCGCAAAAAAAAAAAAAAACCGAAAAAAAACTATGTTATGCAGAAAAATAAACTGAACAACTTTTGCCTCAGGGTCACATCGAAATTCTTTACCAATTTTAAAATAAAAATAAAAGTTTGAAAATATTGTTTTTATTTTTAATTTTTTTAATTTTTTTGGCCCGGCCGGGCAAGTGACCCCGGGCCACTCTGGTAGCCTAGATTTTAACTAAGACCTTGGGACCGGTCCTGTTCTATTTTTAGCGTGGGAACTGGCCTGATTATGTGATACGAACTGTCACTCATGTGCTAAAATGAGCCTGGTCTGTAAATAGGTCGGTCCCTTTTATGGAAACTCAACGGTTTAACCTAGAATTAGAACCCCCCTTCGTGGAACTCTAGTGTTGGCCTGAAATAAAAGGCCCCCTTCGTGGGTTGGCCTGAAATAGAAGCCCCCCTTCGTGGGTTGGCCTGAAATAGAAGGCCCCTTTCATGGAACTTGAGGTTGGCCAAAAATTAGAAGGCCACCTTTGTGCAACTCAAGGGTCGATCTAAAATTAGAAGGCCCCCTTTGTGAACTCGAAGCTCAGCCTAAAATTAGGAGTTCCCCTTCATGGAACTAAGGGTCAGCCTAAAATTAGAAGCCCCGCTTCGTGGAGCTCAAGGGTCTGAGGCTGGCCAACCTTGGAATATGAAGAGTCTCGACCTTTTGGCTAAAAATAGATCAAGTGTATTATCTGTTCTGATCAGTCTAATATCTGATCCGTGGTCCATCTTACCACACAATTTACATCTACATCTACATCTACATCTACACCTACTATAATAACTGCTAAACGTCATATCGCACGGCCCGAATCGCAGGCCGGTAACCACCGCGGACGGCGTGGATCGCAGGCCGATCAGAAAGTTTTCTGATCGGCCTGCGATCTGGGCCGTCCACGGTGGTTACTGGCCTGCAATTCGGGCCGTGCAATGTCAGATTTCAGATTCTGCCGGTCGCTACCGGAGGCGCCGAATTGCAGGCGCGCCCACCACCCCCAATCGTCCGCCCGTAATCGTGGCCCACCCCTCCAATCGTCCGCCCCCCCGCCCGTCCGCCCGTAATCGTGGCCCGCCCTGGCCACTACTCCTTGGTCGCCGGTTGGTACTGGAAGTGCCGAATCGCCCGCCCGTGTGCTTTCGTTGCCCCGGCCACCTGCTTCGGTGTTGCCGTCCCACCCCTCCAATCGCCCGCCCGTGTGCTTTCGTTGCCCCGGCCACCTGCTTCGGTGTTGCCGACCCACCCCTCCAATCGCCCGCCACTTTTCGGAACGTGCGTGCGTGTGTGCTCGGTGGTCGATGCTCTACCTGCGTGGTGGTATGTGCTCTCTCTCTCTCTCTCTCTCTCTCTCTCTCTCTCTCTCTCTCTCTCTCTCTCTCTCTCTCTCTCTCTCTCTCTCTCTCGGACTGTCGCTTGACGGGAACTTGGTGCTCTCCTTTGGT